TAAACTTCATTTTATATGTTAAATTCAATTAATTATTGTATGTATGTGTTTTTCGAATTTTATATTATATATTTTTGTTCTGTATTACAGAGGGCCATGTGTTAGAAAACTCTTTACTGGGTTAATCATGTATTTACCCTCTTCAAATAAAGAACATTGTATTGTATTGTATTGTATTGTAAGCAATTTAGAGTAAGTCACGTCACTTTGATTTATTCTAGATAATCGAGGCATTCACTTTTGCTACTTACAGTAGTGAAAATTGTTTTTTATCGTCCCTGAATTTTGGTATATTTTCAAGGTACGTGGTCCATTCCCTTAAGTTCATATTCTTCGACGATCCGTTAATTTGTGAATGTGCTTTCCTTTGGTTCAGTCGATGCTACTGTGTTGTTCTTGTCAGAGGCTTTCACCTATACTGCTTATTCATGTTTGGTAAGGTTCCCACCGCCCTCACTTTCGGCAATTCTTTCGTAAAGAGGTTGCATCGTGATTTACAGTCTAATTTTGACTCCCGTGCTGACGAGTTTTTCAACCTACGCGGCACGGCTTCGATATTTTTTTTCACAGCATCGGCGGCCGTACAGTGGCGAAGCTTCGATCTTTCGATCTACACGTGGTCGAGAGGTTTTCGCCCGATGTTATCATCTTGGAGGTGGGAAGAAATGACCAAGTCGATTTCGGTCCCGAGGTGGTCGGTTACCAAATCGAAAGCTCAGTTCGCCAGCTTATAGATAATTATTCGGTGCGGGTCGCCGGCGTGTGTCATGTTATTCCAAGTGGCGCTTCACACGCTGAAGCAGCGACTTTTGCTCGGTGTGCAGATATTCTTAGGGAGTATCTCGGCGTCGTATTAGATTCTATGCCTAATCCTTTTTGTTGGCTTCACAAGCCTTTTTCTCATCCTACTAAGAATTTCTACCTAGCAGATGGTGTTCAGCTTAATCCTGCCGGGCAATATATTTTAAATTGCAGTTATAGGGACGCCATCTGAAAAGCTTTAGGCATGCTTTAAATTTTAACACCTCAGCTCCATCGGTTGTAGATTTCTTTTTACTTTTTTCTTCCTGTCATGGGCATTGTTGATTAATTTTGATGTTTGTTTAAAGGGGATTCGTCCTTACCTTAAGTTGTGGCTGGAAGTTATTTTTTGTTGCTATGGATTGGTCCAGTTTCTTTTCTGAGGCTATCTCCTACCATGTGGATTTGTCCACCATCTCATGATATTTTCGTATATCATGTTTTTCTATGGATTCGTCCATAGTTTTTTATTGGTGGATGTGTCTACTTTTTAGTGGTAGATTTTACCTACCATTTTCATTTGGGATTCCTCCCTTGTTGCATTGTGGGTTTGTCCTCTGTTTCTATGTCAGGTATCAACGGGAGTTATCGCGTCGACCTTTGTGTCTGATAGGCTCTCCTGGTCTCATTTTAATTATGCTTATTTTGGATTCGTCCACTGTCTCGTGGTATTTCTCTACAATATATTCAGGGATTCGTCCTTCAATTCATTGTTAATAATTAGTACATTAAACTCCCTGCGAGGCTCTCCTTTTAGTTACGTCCCTGCCCGGATATTTGGGAGACTCAATTTGGGTTGTTCTGTTTGCCTAAATTGTTTTCAATTGACCTGTTAGAATCTTCAGTGGTCTATCGTTTCTCCTTTGAATTTTTTGCCTGCCTGAGGATTGGCGAAATCACCTTGTCCGGCTCCAAGGGGGGTAGATCTTCCATACAGCTTCATCAGCTGGTGCAGTTGGTGGATAAGAATAAAAAAGTTGTGGCCCTGAAGAGCACTTGTTTGGATTTTAAGCAAAACTATAACCAGCGACCCTTTTCTTTGGTGATTAACCGTCAAATTCAGTTTTGTCCGGTGCATCAGATGTTGGAATATTTGTCTGTTAGAGGGCGTACGCCAGTCCCCCTTTTTCTTTTAGCTGAAGGTTCCGCTGTCAATAGAACTCAGTTTACCGAGCATCTCTCCATTGTCTTTAAATATTGTGGTCTCGATCCATCTAGATATAAGGGTTACAGTTTTCGGATAGGGGCGGCTTCTTATGCTGCAGAGGCTGTAATGTCTTAAGCATTGCATTACCCAGATTAGGGCTTTGGGCCGTTGGAAGTCCAATGCTTTTCAAAAATATATTCGGATTCCTTCCATATCATCTTAATTTCATCTCATATTTTCATATTTACACAGGTGGCTTGCGGGGGAAGTTACTTGTACCATAACTCTGGGCTGATCATTCGACTTGCAAGGGCAGTGGTTATGATCAGCCTCAGAGTTCTGTATATATACTTAGGCTTAATTCTGCTGTAGGATAGAGGGCTGACTAGCAAGGGCGGCAGTCCATCCAAAAGGTTGTGTACCATCAAGGGCTGACTTGCAAGGGCAGCAGTCTTTTACTGGCATTTACATACACTTCCTTTTCTCTAGTTTTAATGTTATCATTAGTTACCTCCTTTCCTAGTGGCTATAGTGGAGCTGCATTTCCTTTGGGTGGGGCAAGCATCATGATTTTAGGAAATCATCATGCTTCTTGGCGTGTTTTGGGCCCTCACCCTTTCTGGGCCAGGCAAAAGTTTTCCAGTGTAAGTTAAGTTAAGTTGGAAATTATAAAAGTTTTTATTAAAGCGGCTATGGGCCTTTTTTCATAGCCAAATAACTCCAACCTTGAGTTTTTGATTGTCTTAAGGCCCAGTAAAGCAAGTTTTAGTATATGCAGCACTATTTTTAAGAAGTTGTGGTTTTGAAAAGGGGGTAAAGCATATGGACATTTTATTTCCTCGACACACTCTTGGATTTCTGTGAAAACTGTTTTTTATCACTAAGGTACTATTATATCGTATCCCAATTTTTGTACACTTTGAAAGATTACCTACATCATCTGCTTGATATAAAAAAGAAATTGCTAACAACACCGAAAGGTAAAAAATACTGAGGAAATTAAGTTTAGGATATCTATGGTCTCGTGTGTGATATTCTCTATTCTCATGAGCCTTAACTCACTCATAACACACTCTGTGCATACAAGTTCATGCAAACATTCCCGAAGAACGTATAAAATGAAAATTATAATGTGCTATTTTGATGGTTAAAACCAAACTATTATTTCCACAGTGTAAAATGATATTATATCAAAAAGATGAAAAACTGAATATCTCTTCGCGTGGGAAGGTTTTTAAAGCTAAATGATAAGTACTAATAAATGTTGAAGCGCCACTGTATGATGTACTGGGCCCAGTTTTTCGAATGCCGATTAGCGCCAATCCAAGGTTAAATTTTAACCGGGTTTCTTTATTCCTTTGTGCAAAAGTCTTCTCGGAATAATTCTCTCTCTTCCTTTAATTAGAGCATTNCCCTAACATGACTGTATCATGTATCAACTTACTTGCAACGCTTTAAACTTAGAGGTAAAAAACCTGTCCTTTCCAAGAAAAGTAAGCCAAAGACTAAAACAGTGAAGTAGAGTGTGGCAGAAGCCAAGTTGGTTATCTCACGGACTCTCCCATAAGTAAGCTCAAAATAAGCCATTTCTAAGTCAAAAAATATTTCAAAAGTAAAACCAAACGTTTTCGACACTAGGTTGTTATCAGGATCATCATCAGTTACCCAGATGATAACAAAGGGTCGAAAATGTTTATATTTTACTTTTTAAATATATTTTTCCCTGTGAGTATCTCATTTTAAACCGAAGCGAACCTTATCGATATCACGAAGCTCAGCAAGGTTTCGCAAAATTAAATTCCTGATACCTTGATGAAACTACCTAAGATGTTTTAAAAGAATTAAAGGACAAATAATAGTCAAAGTGAATAATCTCACCTGGTTGTTGACAATAAGCTCCGCACGAACTTTATTTACTTTACATCCCCCACCGATGAGAAACGAGATCATCTTGCCGACGATACGAAAACAAGGGGAAGTGAGAGTTCCCACGGGTGGGTCGCAACCATCTATATGCTGCTTTCCTGCGGGATCGCTCTTTGCGGGTCGTCTCTCACAGTCCCCTATCCACCAGTCCCCTTGCTGCTGGGCGCTTTCTCTTTTGCGAGCTTTTGGATTATCACCAAATGTTGGCTGGTAAATGAAGGCTCTGCCTGTCATCTCCCACGCGCCGATTCCATCTTCAAAGTCAAAGCTGCAGGCTGCATTAAAAAGCAACCGTAAATTTTTTATCCACCTGAATACTTCATGATTATTATTCAGTATTGATTTTACTTTACAGTTTTGTTTATAATTACTCATTACCTTTCTTGCAGTTTACACCAGTGAATCCTAAAGGACATTTACAGCGAAATCCTTTTTCAGTGTATCCAGCTTGACATGTGCCATTGTTGAAACAGGGACTGCTGCTGCAGGGATTCTGTTGAAGATAAAATAACTGAGTATCTTAGATAGCCATGGTTAGTTTACCTGCTCGGGTTATCATGTAAACTAAAAGAAACTCATTTTTCTGGAACGATGACTTCTTCTGGCTTTTTAATAAAGTAAGTGCAGACAAGAATTAAATACCTTTATGAGTCTTCCGACCAGGAAATCGCAGTATCAAATATTTGGTAGGTTGAGTAGTGTTTGATTAATTTACAATGGGTCCCTTCCTTTTAGCCACGGCTATCTTGTTGTCCTTTTTTTAAAGTTGTTCACCATCACTTCAAATCAATACATACATACGAATTGCAAGGCGAGTTCAAAAACAAATCTGACAATCTAATCGTCCAGAAAAATTGTTCATCGTCTAAAAATAAGTCACTTTACCTCGATACTGAGATAGGTATGATCTTGTTTACTCTGAAGGTATGACGAGCCTTGACTTTCGTCCGAAGCATTGTTCAACTCACAAATGTAGTTTCCTCCTTGTGAAGGCCCAAAATTTATGGACACACAATTGGGCTCCAAATAACACAACACATTACAGCTGCCTTGATGGGGCACATCTACAAGCCTGATCAGGTGGCCTTTCATGACCTTGTCCCGTATGGGTTCTTTGAAAACAATGGATCGGCATTCTTTACCTATTTGGTTTGCAAATAACAAAACAAGTTCATCAGACATCTCTGTGATTTCACCGTAAGATTTTGAATGTGCACTTAATCAAGTTGTGAGAACTGTCGTGTATTACATGACTTAGTGAGCGTAGTTAAGTTTCGTTTAGGTTTACATCAAGTATGGGAACAAAGGAGAGCATGGTCGACTAGTGTGTTAACTTGGTTCATGCCGACTTCAAGACGAGTAACCCTCCAATTTATACATTAGGAGGACACAACAAGAACCAGCGATGAGTTACCCGTTAAAGAGGAAAGCAAACAATTTACATCCCTATTTAGGTCCATTTCAATGGAAAGAGTTATTGAAAGCGAGAAAGAACTCCACTTTGCTTTGTATGCCCGTTGCACAGGTCTATTGGAAATTTAATCACTGCGTCAGGTTACGCCAACAACGGCATTAATATATATATTTTTTCTCAATGAGAAGATTTGAAGAAAGGGTCGATATCATGGTTCAATCATCGGTTTTGGACCATACCCACAGTAAAAAGGAGCACAGGGACTTGAGGCAAACAATTCCTGGTAATAACTCTTGCATTTGCAAATTATTCAATCGTCTTCATTGGAATATTTTCCTAACTAAGCTTTCTCTCATCAGTTTTTACCAAGTCATATGAAGCAATCTATCGCTGTTCAGAACCTTAGTTTTCTCTCTTTGTTTCTAATCAATACAATTATTGGTTACGACAGTTTTGATACCTTCGCCCAAAGGACTGACAAATTTTCATTGATATGTTACTCCATCTGGCACTTCATCGTCACCTAGACTGCGCACGATATTTAGTGACAATAGCTTACCAGTGGGTCCAATTCCAGACGTCACTGACGAGAAGAACAACTTACCTGTTTTTGGACAGTAGAGCTTATGGTATCATATCAATTGCAAAACTCCGAGGGTTCAAATTACTTCCTTAACGAATTTGGCTACAAAGAGGAAAGATTTTAAACAGAGACTAGAAGTCTCTGACATCCAGATTCGCTTTAAACCGTGACCTCCGCTATAGTCTCCGCTACCTTCATCGAACGTAAACTTACTATTAACATTGCAACGGAAAATACTTCAGATTATTACCCACAATTTTAGCACTTTGATAAAATAAACATCGTTTCTACCAACTTTGACATATGATTGATCTTTCTCTGATATTTGTTGACAAAAATTTCTTTATTCAACACAGTTTTTCCATAGATTTTTGCATTACAACATGAACGTAAGCGGAATATTCGAAGCTCAGTAACCAGGTATTAGATCAGGCGCGAAAATGAAAAACTCGACACCTTTTTCAAATGTTTCCGCAAATAAGCCGCACCCCCAATTTCTAGCGACTATTTAAAATACAAACAACGAGAAGCGGTAGCTCGACCTCGTCCTCATGGAATGGAAACACAACGTGCGCTTGGGATCACGTGAAAGACTACCCTGGACGTCTTTAGAAAATACTTCAGTTTTTATTACGGGTTACGTTGTGATTATATTGATCACAACAAATGATGTTAAATCACACATACAACGTCACGTTTTGAGTAGTAATCTGGAACAGAATAACACTCAAAAGCAACTTTTTCAAATTTGGGTGGCAACTTTTAAATTTTTGAGCAACTTGAGAGCAACTTTTGGATGAATTGTCAAGCAATTTTTGCTGGATTTACTAGTACAATCTATTCATGCCTAACAGCGATTAAGCGAACGGCGGTAAACGCGAGAAAATGCATCCCTTGCAGAAATTCACCGTTGCAGAAAAGTACCGGAAAATGCATGCTTTTGACTGGTTAATTTTTCCTGAGCACAACTTTGGAATGCGCGAAACGGCGGTAATTGGCAATTTACATGTTGTTTTCCATAGGTTAACCGAACAACAATAAAAGGTAAAACGGCGGGAAATGCGTTTTAACGAATTTTATCGAACTCACCATCGCGGAAAAACGTTAGAAAATGCATGCTTTCGACTAGATAATTTTTCGAACATTTCGTTCACCGGGCGAAAAATGGTTGGGACCAGAAGAAAACACGGCATTTTCTATGCTTTATACGAACTGCAAACTCTGACAAACATGATGTTTTCCCGTATTTACACACATTAACCTTCCCGGAAAATGCGTGTTTTCAGCTGTTAACTCTGGTGAATACGTTGTTTTTCTCTCGAAAAATTACAATGAACAAACGGAAAACACGCTGTTTGTAGTGCGTTAACCGAGCGGGTAATGTCGAAAAATGAATTGTTTACCTGCATGTAGCGCGATGTGAAAAATACCGAACAATGGAGCGAAAGTGGACCTCACCGATGCGAAAACTCACAGACAACGTTGCATTTTCCGTAGGCAAAATACGGGTAAACATAAATTGCCACTTTTTCCGTGAATTCAACCTTCGTTTTCCGTACGGTGAACGCTAGTTTTTTTGCTGTGTTCGCTATAGTCTCCGCTATAGTCTCCGCTATAGTAGAGAAGGAAGGGAGTAAGAGGGTGGGCATCTTGCTAAAAACAGTTTTCACCACGTTGTGAGAAATATCAGAGTATATCATGGGACAGATACCAATGGCAAGCTTCCGTTCCGGTTTGGACATCAACACAGTATTATTGTTGCCCTGAAGGCTGATAGGAATCACCTAGTCGCTAGAAAAGCTCTTCGTTATCAAGATTGTTCTTCTTTTACTTCGAATATAATACTTGGACAGTAACTAAATGTAATATCTTTGACTGAGCATACTTAACGCACCTGAACAAAAACCTCCATCTTCAACTGATTCTTCCTCCTTGCAAGTACAACCATAAGAGCCATTGGTGTTTACACAGGTCGCATTCACACCACAAATGAAGCTGTCATTTACACATTCGTCAATATCTACAGGACAAATGCAAATAATTCAGCCGTGGAAAGACTATTTATAGCCGCCTTTGTTTTCTTTTCTTTTTTCTTTTCTCTTTTTTTTTCAGAAGAAACATACCTGAACATATCTGACCGTCTCCCAAAAAACCTTTCTTGCATGTACAGTTATAGGAGCCTTTGATGTTGATGCAATTGGCATTTGCGTCACAAAGGTGGCTGCCATTTCTGCATTCATCGATATCTGGGTGAGTATTTGAAAATATAGAAACGCCTAAGCATCAGACCTTGTCCATTACCAATGACCTCTCTTGCAGAGAATAAAAGAACAAATAGGAAAGTTTTACATAAAGCGAAGTAAGTTAATCGTACCTCTACACTCATATCCAGTTCCATTGTATCCCTCCTTGCACGTGCATTTATACGAACCATAAGTGTTTGAACAGTTTGCATTGACGCTACAGAGCGAGATATTACTCTTGCATTCATCGATATCTCGAAGAAAATTAATAAATAATGTAAGAATAGATGAACTAGTAATCAACAGAAATAATCCGAACGTTTGAGAAATAATATTTGACGAAAATAGGCTGAAATCGAACGAAATAGGGTTGCCTCCATTTCCTAAGTTCATATCACAATACATTATCTGTGTCTTTTCATTATCAGTTGGGTTCAGCCAGTACTTATTTCTAATGGCATTTTTTCCCTCACTTGCTTTTATTTCTTGGCAAGATAGTGCTGGTAATTCGAGAATGGAACCCAAAGGTACTGCAATGAATAAAAGACTAAAGAGTAAATTCCGTAGGTAACTACCTGGTTAATTTCTTAACAGTTTTTTTTCTTGGAAAAGGTGAGAAACTAAAGAGGATGAGCATAGATGTGATGGACCATACACTTTAAAATATCATTTTACCTTCCCCGAATAACTAAAGGTGAATTAGTAATTATAACATTTTCAAGAACAATAGAAAAAAAATACTCTAGAATATGTAAATATTACCGGGAAATAATATTTATAGTTTTCTCGTATTCAAGTAGTTTTTTTTTTCTCACACTTTAATCTCTCTCAAACAACGCGGTTAGATTACTTTACTGAAAAAATCTCACTCAACAGTTGACTTAAACATGGGAGTTGTTAAAAACTGTGGATTTCAGAAAGAAGCAGCTGTCAAAGTTGCCCAACATGACAATACATAGCCAAGATAATATAACCAAGATAATATAAACAATCTAACTTATATTCTCTTAGTAAAACGCGAAAAAAAAAGTGTTTAGAGGATAGAAATTAGTCCCGCTTGCTATTTTCTTGAAATAAATTCCCGCTTGAGGGCTGTTACTGGTGAAAGTGCTTGCTGACTGAGACGAGAAACTATTTAACGTGCGAACAAATAAGTTTATCTTACTAAATCAGATGAATACATACCTCTTCCATTCAAACGCCTGATATAAAACCAATCAGGGGCCGAGCGAAAGTTTTCAGGCCTCGCCTCTTTGGTGCGGTTGTTTAGTTCGCAGATTTCCTTCTTTCTATTGTAGTTGTAGCTTTGGCAGATGATTTCTTCTCCACATCGGATATCACAGATATAGGGAGCTGATGCTGACATCCTTTTGAAGACGAACTTTTCAAGTCTCATGCCTTGGATGTTGATCTCCACCTTGCACCGTTCATTAGCAGATACGCATTCCGCGAAAAGAACCGGGATAAAGAGACAAAAATTTGGCCACAGCATCTTTCTTGTGACAACAATAATTGGTTCATGCGTCAGTATACTTTTATAAAGATATCAAGTATACAGTGGGTTTTGAGAAAATGCAAGATAGATCAGAGCGCCCTTTAGCACAGACTTCGTGTATCTCTGTTATATTGTATGAAAAATTGATAATATTGTATGCAAGTGACTCTAAACTAACAAAAAATTTCCGATAACGAAATAAGGGTGTCATAGATTAAGAGAATCTACTTTTATGTGGTTTTTCTCTTCATTTCTCTCTTGTTCGAGCGATTGTTGTGCAGAGATCGTCATAAGATTTAAGTATTTTTATGGCTCATAATGAAAACGGGTTTCTACCCTTTACCCTCACTTCGCAACAAGTGAGTTCCCTTACCTTTAAAGGCATATAAACACTCAGCCTTTTGCAGTGTGTTTTGATGCTAGCCACCACCTGCTGGTAAGTTTCTATCTCGTGGTTGTTGGTCAATGTTTTGAAGCTATAGTTTAAATCAAAAAAACTACGAACCTCTGAACCTACACCTGAATTCTCTCTCTAGCCTTAATGAAATGTTAGCCTGACAGCTTGAGCCACTGCTTTTTGGTAAACTGTAATGAATAGAAAATAGCCTCAAATAATAATTTTGGGATTCTATATTATAAAAGATAACGCCAGGTGAATGACAGTTTGACAGAAGCCCAAAACGCCGCCAACGTGTTCGAATTCTCGGCCTGATCATTATTGACAAAACAAAACATTATTTTTGTTCATTAGCCTTTATTTTTTCTACTCTTGGGACGCACTCGTAAAAATGTTTTTGTTAGTGCATTCCTCTCACATTACTTCATCTATCGTTTTAAAACAAAGAGAAATTGAGTTTAAAAACATACAAAGAGGAAAACAGTTAATAACCGATGCCAGGCTGTAGCTTGGTGAACTCCAAATTTTTCTTCCGTGATCATATTTTTAGCACGACAATTTGAACTACTGCTTTTCGGTGAACTGTAATGAAAATAACGCCCCTTTCTATTTCTATTTTATTTGAAGAAATGGATAAAAAATGATAAACACCTGGTTAAGGCCTTCTTAAACATTTGTAAATAACTGTTTCATACATAAACTTGGTTTTTTCGCTTTCTATTCTTCTTCAAGTTGTTTATTACCTGCAAGGCCTGTCCCCATTGTGCTCGGAAACTTTTAAGCAACTTTTGGCGTTTGGAGGAACTTTTTGCGATTCTAGTAAAAGAGAAATATTTTTTCTTTCGTATATCTGGGAAATGTTTTCTCAACATAAAGCTCGTATCAATTAAGTACGAAACAGTCAACGACTTCATCGGAAACTTCAACTTATGTAAATTTCTTGAATGTCTATCAACCTTTTGAACACATAACCTGTTATTTGACTTTGTTTCGTTCGACAAGAAGCCAAATGAAGAATGTCTTTTGTTCCATTAAACTTTAGTGAAGAATATCCTTCAATTTCGCCTCTATCTACGTGCAACTCTTTAAAGCTAAGTTTCAAAACATTTTTCTCGAGTGATTTTAGTGACTATTGCGAAGATCGAAACATTAAAGTATTAATTAACTTTTAATTATTCCAAAAAAGTCAGGAAATTTAGGTAAAAGCTTTTAAAATTTGCGCAGCAACTTTTGGGATTTTGACAGTTTTTTTAGCAACCATTTGGGAATTCCTGTCCGCGACTTCCCAGGATTTTACGAGCACAGACGGGAAATGTCTAAATCTGCACTCGGAACAACGGCGCTAAGACCTCGTCTAGAGGTTGTATATCAGGCATAAATAGTTTGTGCAAGGAAATCCAGCAAAATTTGCATGACGATACGCCCAAAACTTACTTTAAAGCTGCTCAAAAATTTAAAAGTTGCCACCCAAACTTAGAAGAAGCTGCTTACTTTTGGTAGTCATTTGTTCTAGATTACTACTCAAAACATGAAGTTGTATGTGTAATTTAACACCATTTGGTTTGATCAATATAATCTCAACGTAACTACTAATGGAAAGTATTCTCTAATAACGTTTTGGATAGTCTTTCACAAGATCCCAAGCGCATGTTGCGTTTTCTTTCCCTGAGGACGAGGTCGAGCAACCGCTCCTCGTTGTTTGCATTTGCCTTCGTTGACGTGAATTTTGGGCTTTCTAGAAATTGAAACTCTTGCAGGACTATTGAGAGTTTTTCCTTCGGCTATGGTAACTTCGGTAGAGTCAATATCGGTACTATTTTAATTTTCCTCGTCAGACATTTCAGCTTCTAATTATGATACCTTGCACGCGCGGGAAGCTCTATTGTTGGAGCGAATATCCGCTGGATGTAAAGCGCACGTTGGATAGATAGCTGCTGTTCAGTTTGTGGGTGCACGTGTTATTTTATGAATTATTTGTAACAACGTACGACATCCTTAGTTTCGACCAGTTTTAATAAAAAACCTTTGGATCAAGACTTTTTGGATGGTTTGGTCAGTTTTTAACTATTTGTTGACTCAAAAATTGCCAAGGAAGGCAAAAGTTGCTCCAGGTTGCTAACCGGAGCTCGCAATACAAAAAGTTGCTGAAAACGCTAAAAGTTGCTCAAAAGTTGCCGAGCACAATCTATTAATGCCTAGTAGCTGAAGGACCGCCGAATGGTTCATGCCTACATGCTATAGTTGTGTATGGCATTGTATATCAGTGTTGCCTAATAAAAAGAAGCCAGGGAAGGAAATGTTACAACGTATAATGCAACCAGACAGTCTCACTTTGATGTTAACAGTCAGTGAAGTTCTGCGCGGATCTCATTTAGCTTGCAACCTTATTCTCTTACGGAGACAGGAGATGTTTTCTCTAATTTCAACGGGCAAATTGATATTTGAGAACTTATGGCAACCATAGAATTTTCATGAACTTTAATCAGCCTAATAAGAGGATCTCAATGGGATTAACCGTCAACCGTTGTATGGCCAAAATATTAACCATCAACCGTCAAAAAAGCAACATTTTTACCGTCGACCGTTAAACAAGCAGGCCTATATTAGTCGTTAAACGTCTCAAAGTATAGATATTGAAAGTCAAATTTGCCTGGTGCTTGTTCCCATGCTGTCGCTTGTCGCTGTTTTTTCAGGACCACTTGGTAGCATTCTTTTACTTGTCTTTTTACGAATTTACTTTCTGCTCTACAAGATTACTACCAATCCGTCTTCAACAAATACAAAGACACTAGAGACGTACGTTTTTCTTGCAGGGTAGGTTTTGTCATAGAACGTGGCAACAAGACAATTCGGTTTATTGACATAACGAGTCAGTGCGATTGTACCCTACCTTCCACCTCGCACCGAGCTGGAAAGCTAGCTGAGAGCCTACAAACTTTCCCTTGAGCGAACTGTGGCAACGTTACGTTAGTGCCTTGCTCAATTCATCGCCTTGAGCAGATCGCACGTCCGAAGGATAACCCATCTTGATCGTGTTCACATTGAGCCACCTTTACCCAGTCCCGCCGCCCTTTGTATAGCAAGGGACGAAGTATTGATTTGTACAAATGATAAGCAAAAGCGATTTTCAAGTCATCTTGGAAAAGGATGGAGTTCATGGTTGACTATCCCGGCTGTTTGTGGCCGGTTAGTTTATTTCGTTTCTGCAAAGTATCCAAGTACTGTTGGTGGTTTGGCTTTAATCTAGATCGATCTGGAGGGTAGACCAGTTGATATGTGTTAAAGAACGAGACCAATTCTTGCTCAGAAATCAAACGATTCACACCCTTTACACCTGGAGCTTATCTAGTCAAAGTACTTAGCCCAGTCGACAAGGTGAGTAACAATTCAAGTGGGGAGTGGTCAAAGACGAAATGAATATTGGACTGCAAAAAGTTGCACTTTTGTTCAACCACACGGAATTTGTATTGTTGGGGAAACAATATTTATAACGGATGCGGCAACAGGGAACGTGAAGCTCATCACTGAGCTGTTGGGTGCAACAGCAATTACTGAAGAACCTTATTCTATTATATGATAGCTTCGGAATAGCCTATAAGGGGACTGTTGCCAAGGACGTCACACCAAGGAAAAAGGGGAAAATGGGTATAAAAAGAAGGAAACGGCAAATACAAATGGTCCTCAGAAGAAGGCAGCATGGTCGAGTGGAAAGCGTGTCGGGCTTGCAATCCGTCGCTCCCGGGTTCAAGTCCCGCCCTGGCCACTACTTGAATTTGTTTCACGGTAGCCCCGAGTTTCAATTCCTCGGCCATACTTGTAATATAGCCAAATGATTTTTTTTCGGCCAGTTGGGATTCTTAACAACTTTATTTTCAATTTGAATTATTTCTTTAAGTTGTTTCGTGGAAAACCTGTAAACTAGCTTCTACCTAAGTGTTTCTCCACGTTAAACTGTTTATTATTATCATTATTATTATCATTATTATTATTATTATTAACATTATTATTATTATTACGGCATAGCGACAGAAAAGACGCAACAGTCTGTTCAGCTTCTTTTTAGAGGCATTAATCGTCTCACCAACACCATAAATCTAGAAGTTTCAAACATTAGACATTTAGTGTACTTCAGTACGCTATGGACTTTAGAACTCAAAGGAGTCCTTTAAACAGATTACAAAGTGGATTGCCAGTTATTTTACACATCCTGTGGCGTACTACCTGGTTCCACTAATATGATGTTCATTGCCGCTAAATTTATGGACCTCTTTGACAGCAGAGAATATTCCAAAATAATAATAATAATAATAATAATAATAATAATAATAATAATAATAATAACGGTTTATTCACAGTATATCCACATAAAAAGGTGTGGCTCTTGATCTGTGAAGGCCTACGATACTAAAATTTAATATTAAAACTAATTTATAATGACTAACTAAATTGCAATAAAAACTATACATGAAAGTATATATGCAGAATATATTGGTTGGTGGTGGTGGTTGTTTCTATATCTTTACAAGGAAGACAAAGCGCGCGCCTTCAAGAACGCCTTGCAGAGCCTGCAGTATTCTTTAAAATATGTGTAATTCCTTATATTTGCTGGCAATTCGTTAAAAATCATGGCTGCTGAATGCTGAAAGGTGCCCTGTACAAATGGAACATAAAGCCTTGGAGCAACACTGGAACGGAGATGCCTAACGGGTTTAACGACTTGCAAATTTAAATGGGAGGGCCAGTTATCAGAATACAGTGCTTTAAAAATAGTCTTTAGTAGTGAGTAGTCCCTTAGCTCCAGGATAGGTAGCCAGCCAAGATCCAAAATGGTAGATATACTGTTTACATATTTACAAGTGATGAAACTAGCCATAGCGAACTGGAGCCTTTGTAGTCTAGCTGAGAGGAACTTTGGTAGTGGATAAAAAACAATGTCACAGTAGCTTATTTTAGACAGAATTAATGTTTCTACCAAATGTTTCCGTAGTTTAAAATTAGTAAAGTTCCTTATTTTTCTTAAGGTTCTCAGAGTCGCATAACAAGATTTAAGAATAAAATTGGTATGAAATTCCCATTTAAGATTTGAGTCAATGTGTACTCCCAGGAGTTTTGTAACATTTATACGTTCCAGTGGTTTACCGGAGATTTCTAATCCCAACTCCAGATTTCCGAGAGAATG